ATTCTCCGGGCAGACGCAATGTCGTGCCGAATACCAGTTCAGCGGCGGAACATTGTATATCTGCCTTCAGGCTCGTTTGAATACCTTAGAGAACGAGCGATAAGGTTTCGTGCCAGTTGCCGTTTTCGTGTGCTCGCATAGCACTTTTAAGTTGGCAGTGAAACCGTTTACTTAACCATTTGGTGCTGGGTGGTAGACAGATATGCTCATGCGTATGCATTCCGTACCAAGCAGCCGGGTCAGCGAGGAGAATAGTTAATAGGGGAAAATTTCTCGAATAAAGCGTGGAATTCATCGTCAAGGATTCGGTACACGTACATGTGAGTCTATTATATTAATACTATTCTTATCGTTATCCGTCATGTCGAGTATATTATATATTAAAAAATATGAAAATATACGACAGACGTGGATAGATAAATCATAGACTCACCGAATTGGCTTCTTTGGAAGATTTGATCAGAAGTTGAGGCGTGTTCCAAAATTTTGGGATCACCAATTGTAGCGTGGCGTCGAGTTGAGGTTAACTATGAACACCGCTACAAAGAAGCACGTGCCAGATAAATCAGAAGGCGAGGGTTGGACGTAACCAAATAGATCCATAAAATCTCCGAGAAGCCAAATATCAGAAGGCAGTTAATGGACCAAGTCGAGGTGTATATTTGCTGGCGATCTCGTGGCATCGAAAGGATACCGAGATCGTGCCAGGATACAACCTTGGTTACAAAAGGTAACCGAATTCGCGCGAAGTTACAATCGAAGTGTAAGTAAAAGAATGGAAGCACAAAATAGCTGCCATTAGCACAGTCAAACAAAAGCACGTTAAAACAAACACTGGTACAGTTGGTTATAGTAATAATTGCTTTTATTAAACCAGTCGTGTTCTCGTGATAAATGTGAGTCACTACAAGTTCATACAAAAATACCACAATAGTGCATATGATGTAAACATTATTTTTTCTGTAAAATAGCACTACTGAAGAACTCCAAGATGGTTTTCTCACAACAACTCAAATACCAGTTAGCTGTTTGTGGACAATATTAATATCTGTGTCCGTATTTGTGTCAATTAACATTAGAACCACAATCGAAAGAATTCTGGGATAATGTAGCATGAATCTTTGGATAAAATAAAAAGTGTAACTAGTCTTCTGGATAAATTTGACTTTGTAACTACTTTGATCACTACACAACAAAAACGTTTTCACAGAAATTCACTGGCAAGAGCCGATTTAAAGAACAAAGAGCAAACACCACTACCTGAGCCAGTCCACGGCTTGTGAATCGTAAAGATTGAACCTACAGAAAATATAAGAATAACTGACAATAACTATGAGTTAATCAACTAACAACGCATTGGATTTTTATTGCATCTATCCACTGAATGTACAATTTATAGACATACTGACCTAATGTGATGAAAGATATCCATCATCATTCACTTCAGAATGTAAGTTTATTAAAATGAATTTTCCAAAGTATGGGATGTGTAGTTACATCGTCATGGATAACAACCCTTTAAAATGCTTCTTTTACCCACTAGACAAACGAAATGCTTTGTTCGATGAGCTGTTTATTCTAAGATGTGAACCGTCAATGTTATGTAAATATAGCTTAATAAAGACCAGGAGTTTGAGCGAAACAGGAAGAATGGAGAAGAAATGAACCAGTCAACTTAATCTTTCATTGTATAGATATTGAATTTTGGTTACTCAACCTTCCTTCTAGTCAAGGTCACTGGTTTCATATATGCTACACCACGTTGCCTAACGGGTTGTAGGGTGGATATGTCATTAGTGTGTTTTAAAGTTACTACCATTTTGAAATTACTCTCTTAACTAGTAGTAAATAATTAATTCCCGTTAGCTTGATGAATATGAATCTTAAGACACCTCGTCGTCACTGTTTTTGACACCCATTAAAGGCAATGATGCCTATTGTCATCACGTATCCATTGCGTAAGAAGATTTACATATAGAGTATAAAATATTAAGTCCACTATTCATTCAGAATACATAGAGATGCAAGTACTCAGCGCCAGTGATACAATCAGCGGGAAAAGAATTCGACATGAATCATTAATGATTCATATCGAAGTTCTCATCCCTTGTTTTAAAATCTGCTTCTCCACTTCTCATAAATCGTCAGCATCTTGATTTGTGGTCATCACATCAATTAGCCATTAGAAGGGAAAAGGGTTACCGGCTATTTGCTGCTCACTATAGTGGTTTTAAAGCCCACGATAATTTTGATTGTAAAGTGTAAGGAATAAATATGCAGTTATAGAGAAAGATAATAAAAAGTTGTAGGGGTTTAAATAGATCCTCAGAATGATATGCGTTCTTGATCCCATGGTTTTATGCTTTTCTCTTTTCGAAAATTTAGCATCACTAGTCTCACTAGTAATATATTGTGGTCGTTTTTCCTACATAATTGACTATGAGCAGATTTTCTCAGCTTGCTGGGTCTTCTGATCTACAAAAACAATCGCTGGATGTAAAATCAACCTCGGAACTCTATCCGAGGGACGAAAACAATTCAAATTCAATTAAAAATCCAAGGATAGAAAATCTCGTGCTTCAAAGCGTTCGACAGAGTCCATTCAGTCGCGTTCCACTGATACTGCTTTAAAAAGTAGGTTTGATTTTTAATTCTGTGTCTCATTTCAAAGATTTCATCAATACATCTTTGTATAACAATTGGTCAGGTGTTTTTAAACAGTTTGTGTGTTAACTTTTTATTTATTTATTTGAACGCAAACGTTGATACAAGGGAGCATCAAATTTATATGTGCCACACAATAACAATGACGGCAGTTGTAGTTGTCATTGATTTGTATGGGGGTTGTGATACTGCCCGGGTGCCCAGACCGAAACAAGTGGTTTTCTTAGGGGCCTCTACCCGAGCCTTTGGCCTGAAGGTCTAACCCACAAGGCAGTGTGGCAGCGTAAGGAGTTGCACTCCCATGGTAGCTAGTGACCGACAGTAGGTTCATATGCCATTTGTTCCTCCATGATACTGGAGCTCATGTGCATCATTGACTTGGAATCCTGGTCTTTCAACTCTACTAGGTGGGTCCTCCATATCCACCAACCCGTTTAGGGTGCCGGACATTCGCATTTCGTTCTCTCAATTTCGTAAGCAACACTCCTGATGAAGGAAGACGGAGTAGGACTTCCCTGATAGTGGCTGTATATGTGTGGTCATGTAAGAGCATTTGGAGAGGGAGAACTAACTCTCCTTCCTCGACTGTACCAGGGTATTTGGGGGTGAATGTTAACTAAAACTAAAACATAAAGTAAACGCATTGTGACAACTTATATATAGATTTAACCTCTGAATCTATTTCATTTTTAAAATATGATTGTTCTATTTTTTATGGATGTTAAGTGAACATAAAATAATCATATTTTAACTTCGAAGTGGATTCAGAGTGGTTAAGTCTATATATCTTATCTCAGTGAGTTTTTTTTCGTCTACGTATAACCTATTGTGTTGATGATTAAAAGGAACAATTTTTTTCATGCACTTATTTCTCATCTAGAACTCAAATGAGAATGATAAAATTCCCAGATACATTAGGATCATATTTCGCGCACTATCCTGTGTTCCATGCAATATGATAAGGCTGCATAATTCTGCGGAAATATGTCTCTTTAATAATTTATTAAATATCCATTAAAAGACTACCAATTACTTTTAATAACAGCTGGAATGTAGTTTAAATTAGAAGGGTGTTGAGAAAGATTTTATCGGGATTTTGAGGCTCATGTATACAATTAGTTTGATATTGGGCTCTGGACCATCTACTTCTACTAACTCAATTCAATCACCAGACTTCTACCTTCAGCCTTTCATTTTGATGAGAATAGCCCCTACCACGCTCAGACACAGTAGGTCTTTTCTGGAAGAGGTTATGAAGGTGCGGTCGTGAAATAGCGTTCTGAGTGGACAGCGGTTTGTTTATTCCATCGGGTGTACCAGAACATGTAATTCGAATTGAATTAAACTTGCTAACCAGGTGTAACTTTGTTTATTGAGGTTCTAGCTAAATTCACTGTATGTAATGGTCAAAAATGGTAGCAAGTAGTAACTTGTTCAGAGATGGATAGCGAGAAATTACACTTGGGCAAATGCCACTTTTAAACTCACTAATTTAAAACATAGTCTAGTAATCTATAGATTGCTTCACTATTTATGTGTATTTATTGTTTATAACCTACTCATTCTGAGTGTAGATTTAATGTTTCTCAGTACATGGCCATTTTCCCAAGTGACTTTTCACCATTACTTACTATACTATTATTTATGGAGTTCTAGATAAAGATTGTTTTTAGTTAACAGTCGAATTTCACTCGTAATTTATCTTTAGTATTTCGTGTTTGATTTGTTTCATTCATCCAAAGTTGACGCAAAACCTACACTGAGTACTGTTACCCTTGAGAGCTGTAGAGATATACAAGAAAATTTAAAAGGTAAACACGAAAACTTGTAATTTTTTGTCACGTTAGTTTTGTCGTCACATCCTGACCCAGGTTCGAAACACTCTCTACGTACTCCAGTTTAAGGAACCGGGTAGTATCATACGTGGAGTATGACTCATACCCGAGTGTTTGGTGAGTTAATTATATATACTACTGATACGGTTATTATTTCTATTTTGTCTTGATGATTTCATGCCGCTGTGTTAATGTGAGGCATACAGACATGAACTGACGGTACCCGTGTGCGCCAGGTTCTGAGTTGTATATGACTAACTGACCAATGTAAACCCTCATCAAATTTCTTTTTGTTTTTTAGACGATATCGGTGGTTTGTACATTGAACCGTGTGGATTTCGTAATGTAAGAAATTCGTGTTTCCTTAATGCTTCTCTCCAACTCTTACTCAATATTCCAACTTTATGTTTAACTTTGTATAAATTTCGCGGTATATGCGTTTCTTCAGCTGAATCCGCTTTCCATGCTTCAGGCGTTCAAGGAAAAAAACCCCTTTAACAGATCAATTGTAAGTTTTACCTTCCATTCGTCTAGTTGACCTTTTATTTAAACCTTCACACTTGGTAGTTTTGTACTGATGGTAAAAGAATCTGGACATTATTGTCAGTGTTTACTTTTCAGAAATGTACTAGGATATCGTACTGGAGATCAGAATATTACGTCGAAATATTCATTATTTCTCTGAATCAGATATTTCACTACCATTCATTTTCCCACAGAGATTACTAGTTTTATACTGTGCTTACCGCTACCCAAATGTTTAACTACAAGTTATGCATTGTGTACATCGTGTTTGTTTACATTCTACTTTTGATAGATATTAGGAGGCATTTAGAGACTAGTAGTGTTTTTTGCTATATTACACTATTTTAGTACAATAAGTTAATCATTTTTGATGATATAAAAGTCAAATCAACTTAGAAGACGTTATCTAAGCATTAGTCAATTGGTAGACAGCTTTAAGGGTGATAGTAGTACCTGGTTATCAATTGTATGAATATTTTATGTAAGTGGTGAACAAAACAACGGACTATGAAAATAAGTATTTATGCGATAGGAATTTTTCATTTAACCATTACCACAATAGTGTAGTATAGCAATTTAGGCTGTTGGACATTTATACTGGGATCCAAAGTGATTATAACTGACTGAACCATGTTTTATTTCCGTGTTTTTGTCTTCAGTGACACGACATTCAAATAGTTTGAATGAATGAAAGAGTGGGAACGAAACTATTTTACATTGATTCGTTAAATTTTCTTTGAAGTTCAAAAAGCAGTATGGTCCTAAGGAACTAAACTACCGTCTTTAAAGATCAAAACATTTCTTTAATCGTCAAGTTAATTGACGATTAAATAAAGGTGAGAAATCTCGTAATATTGAAAAAACTAATTTATAAAGTACGTATACATGTACTCACCTTGTGGCACATTTCAAATGTGAATAATTTACAGAATAATGAAGCAGACGAAGGAATGGGTTCAAATTTATGGTTCACTGTCTGAAAGACACGAGCTTAATTGTCAACCTACTGTTCCACTGGTTAAAACCTAAATAATGTGATTGCTAGATCCGTTGATTATTCAACATGTTTGAATCATTTAGTGATTACACGACAGACGCTAAAACTTATACAGACTTTTATTTTATTTATTTTAACACATAGACATTGGTACAAGGAGGCACCAAATACATATGCGCCACACAAATCTCATTCGATATGTGTGAGGGCTGTGATACTGCCCGGGTGCCCAAACCGAAGCAGACTATATGAATAATATATACATATAACTTGTGTGTGTGTGTGTGCTAATTGGGCATTCATTTTCGGCAAATTTAAACATAGGTGATAATTTCTGGGAAAAATACATTTGATCCCCTCATAAAAACAAATGATAAGCTTGATTATAGCAATAATAACGTATCTCCTGGCGTATCTATTCCCATTTCTTGGTTGTGCCGGGATTTAAGAAAAAAAAACCATTCTTGTAATATTTGGTAAAAACAAATAAATCAAAATGTCATATATTTGATAACACATAAATTCCATTGTCAGAAACGAAACGAAACTACTGTACGTTTTTTTGTTCAGTATAACATGAATTATGCGTTTTACATTAATTCAGTGTAAATTTTATTCTTCTTTATTTCCTCTATTTGATTACCTGCTTCGGTTTGGGCACCCGAGAAGGATCACAGCCCTCACACAAATCAAATGAGATTTGTGTGGCGCATATGTATCTGGTGCCCCCTTGTACCAGTATTTATGTGTTCAAATAAATAAACAAATACTATTGTTTGATTATGTTTAGTATTTGTTAACTGATTAACAAATACTAGTTAACATGGTTGATGCCGTGTTTTTTTTCTGAAGAGTAAAGAAAGTCTTCTTCTGATATCAGTTTTTGTCTTTCTTTTTACATTGTACAGTTCTCAATGTTTTTCTGTTTTAAGTGTCAATGTTTCTGCAGATATAACTTAAAGAAATAATAAAGAAATATTTATATTGTTATTATTATCTCCCATAGGTTAGAATTAATTGAAAAACTCAATCCACAAGTAGTGGAGAATGAAACAATACTAAATAATACTTCCCAATGTTGTAATGGTTATGGTAATAAAAATGATAATACTGATAATAATGTCACTCATGCAAACAAAACAAGAGTGGGCAGAAATTCGAATAGTCCTGTTCCCTCGACTTATAAACTGTCACAGTCCAATGGTGTACAACCATTCATGCTAAAACATTTGATTACACCGAACCCAATTTTTGGAAAATTGCTTCATATGAACACAGGTTTTCAAGAAGATGCCGCTGTAAGTATATATAGGATTTATGTAAAGTATTCTTTGTCGTTTGTTTAAAAAAAACTTACGCTTGCCAGTCATTTAGGTTATATAAGGGATTTGTGGTAATTGTTGAGTTTCATAGTTTACATTACGAATAGACTTTCGTTAGACAATTGTTGAAAACTAGCAAGGATTGAACAGCTGTTTCTCCCAAGTACAGGACTCCTCAGCAGTAGGCATCCACGACTGAAACACAGGTTTATGTCCTTGGCTTTGAGTTGCACTTTAGTTGTGTGATGAAGTTCAGTGGCTGTGGCATTCGATTTTCAACCTATAAACCACATGCTCGAACCGTCCTTCATTTAATTAGGTTCAGATAACCAGATGTGTTATGTTCTTCAGTTATGTCCTATTAAATCATTCAGAACTATTTATTTAATTTGATCGGTTTAATTAACTTGCTTCTCCCGCCTGTTGATGATATTCAGAGTGTTTACGTTATAATTGATAGTTTGAATAGGTGGTCAGTTGATTGTATGAAATGTTTCTTTACGTTAGAAATGTTAAGCTTGTTTTTATAATCAGTACTGAGTTTAGCAACAATCATTATTTTGTGGGGATTTTATTCACTGAGTAGTATTTCATGTGATAAGAAATATGGTCCAATTTATTCAACGTTTAAAGATGATAATTTCTATATATTTGTCAGTATGATTAACTTGTTAATACCCTTCTTCTTCTTCTTCTAAATCGCACATTCAAATCTCAATTCTCTTACTTCGGTTTGGACAATGGGGTAATATCACTATGCCTCACATATAGTATGGACTGATGCTCGGATTTTTGAGTATTCAAACATTTTCAATCTAGTGAAAAAATTTCATAGTTATGATTATGATTGTTGCATTTCTTTTCTAGTATTATTTTAATAAATGAGAACATCGAAATTATTATTATTGTTTAGTTCATAAAAAAGCTTTGGAATAACTGCGCTCCAAAGATAGTATGTGTTACACAAAATAAGTTTGTGTGTGGGCCGGGATGCTGCCCGGTCGCACTAATGGAAGTAGTTGATCTTTTATGGGATCATTCCTTAAACCTAAGTCTAATCCACAAGATAATAGAGTAACAGGAGACTTTCTACGGTAGCTGCTGACCGCAAACCGGTTCATACGTCATTCGTTTCTTAGGTATTCTGAAGCCCATGTACATCTTTATTTATTTATTTATTTATTTGAACACATAAATATTGGTACAAGAGAGCGCCAATATATATGCGCCACACAAAACAATGGGAATTCGAAGAGAAGTAGAAAGAGAAAAAAAAAAACTAAGGAACGCAAAAGAAAAAGAGAGTAATGACGAAGAGGTACAATCAGAAGAAATCTTTCAGGTAAGGGAGACACAACCACTTTTTATGAAGAAAGTAAAAGAAGGTTACAGCAGGATCGCCACTGGCTTCTATTCTGAGCCATATCTGATAACGTCTCTAGCCACTGTGTAGCACCATCTCTCGGACCCCAACCAGGGAGTCGTGAAGGACCAACACAAGCCAGTCCTTTGCAGCTTTCTTTCATGCCACGACACCATGTCATGCACTGACCACCTCTCCGCTTCTTCCAACCAGTCCCAGAGTCGGCAAATAATGCACGACGTGGAATTCTCTGGGACGACATTCGGAGAACATGTCCAAGCCACCGAAGTCGGTGTTTCAAGATGGTGACACCAATTGAGTTATCATCTCTGTGCCCGAACACACGATGCCGAACCTCTGCATTACTGACATGGTGTTGCCACTGAATGTCAGCAATCCTTCGGAGACAGCGATGATCGAACACAGAGAGTCGTCTAACGTCCTCAACTCGGAGAGGCCAGGTTTCACAAGCATAGAGCAAAACTGCTCTCACCGACGCGTTGTAGATCCGACCTTTTACAGCCAGACTAACATCACGAAGGCGCCAAAGGTGGCCCAGATTGGCATAAGCCGCTCTGGCTTTCACTATTCGTGCATTGATCTCATCACTCACACCCCCACCAGCACTTATGCAGCTACCCAGATACACGAACTTCTCAACTACGTCTATCTGCTCACCATCCAGGGTGAGTACAGGATTAGAATCCTGCCAGTCTTGTAGAAGTACTTTGCACTTCGAAGGTGCAAAGCACATACCATACCTACGGACACTGATTGCCAACTGATTAAGTGCGGATTGCATGCCTTGGGCATTATCGCACAGTAAGACAATATCGTCCGCATACTCAAGGTCGAGAAGTCTTTCTCCAGGCAACAGATCCACACCACCATTACTTACATTCATCAGAGCTGTTTCCAGAATGTCATCGATGGCAAAGTTGAAGAGGAATGGTGAGATTGGGCAACCCTGCCTAACCCCACTGCTCGAATGGAACAATGGAGAGAGGTGGTTGTATGCCCTCACTCTGCCTGAGGTGTTTTTATATAGGGCTTTTAGGATGTTAATAAACTTCTCAGGCACACCCTTCTTCAATAGACAATCCCAGAGAACAGTCCTGTCCAACGAATCGAAGGCAGCCCTGATGTCAAGAAACACTACGATTGTTGGCCTTTGAAAAGTATGGCGGTGTTCTAACATTTGGCGGAGGGTGAAGATATGATCAATACATCCTCGACCAGAACGAAACCCAGCCTGCTCCTCGCGAGTCAATCTTTCTCGGGTTTTGAACAACCTACGAAGAATGACGGAAGCCAATAGCTTGGACGCAATCGGAAGTAAACTTATCCCCCGATAGTTGTTACAGGAACGACGTGAACCCTTTTTAAAGATAGGGACAACTATCGACTCATTCCATGACGTTGGTACACTCTCTAGTTCCCAAACCTTTGTAAACAACGTCGTCAATTCCTTAGTCAAAAAGTCACCACCATCTTTAAAAAGAGCCGGAGGTAAGTCATCTGGGCCAGGTGATTTGTAACGCTTCAAGAGTTGGAGTTCCTTGCGGACTTCCTCCTCATTTGGTGGATCAGTCGTCACCGGCCATGGAGGGCAGGACAGTCTGACCGATGTTGCCGGAGCAGCAGGCCAGTTGAACTGCCCTTCGAAAAATTCTGCCCATCGTCCAAGACGTCGATGGATGTTAGTGATTGGCATCCCATCATCCTCGCAGATTGTTTCACTCACACCAGACTTCTTGCTGCCAGTGGCTCGGATGAGCTGGAAGAGCTTCCGGTAGTTACCAGATGCAGCTGCTGCTTCCAGCTCATTAGCACGCATCGACCACCAGGCTTCTCGGTCCTTACGCAAGCTTTGCCCAATTTCCTTACGTAACATCCTTCGTTTATGGTCAAACTCACGGTCACCCGGAGTAGACCGACGGGCTTCAATGAGTTGTAAGGAACCAGAAGAAACCCAGTGCTTAAAAGCGGGACGTTTCGCAAACCCACAACTGACTGTTCCCGCCATTTTCATGGCGTCATGCAATTGCAACCAATGCTCATCTATACTTTTCGGTGGAGTGGTAGCTAGCCTAGAGGCTAGCTCGGTTCGATACTTACTTGCAACAGAAGTTGCAACCAGCTTGCTAACATCAATCCGTTGATGGCGTTCACTTCGTTGTCCACTGAAAAGTAAGGCAAGATTGGCGCAGACCAAGGCATGGTCAGAGTCCAGATAGGTACTCCAAAAGGAGCGGCAGTCTTGTACACAACCACGCCAGCGGTAGCTGATCGCGATGTGATCAATCTGAGTCCAGGCTTGAGATGCAGAGGGAGGACGCCAGGTGGCACATCGGCGATGACTGTGCCGAAAGTTAGTGCTAGCCAGAAACAGGTTGTGGTCTGTGCAAAGTTGCAGTAGACGGTCCCCGTTATCTGACCTGCGACCAACGAGTCCCCATCGGCCACCTAAACGACTCTCTTCTGTGCCTAGACGCCCGACCTGAGCATTCAAGTCTCCGGCTAGTACTACAATATCTGTCGAACGCACTTTCTGGAGAAGAACTGATAACTGGTGGTAAAACTCATCCTTGATTGCATCCGGGCTGCAATCTGTCGGGGCATAGGCGGAGATGACGAAAAGACATCGTTTCTCACGCCGATTTCTTCTCACTTTGATGGAACTTTCTAATCTAACAGCACATAACCGACTGTTAATGGGGATCCAATCGACTAGTGCTGCCTCAGCTCTAGCGCTTAGTGCGACACCAACGCCAGCAAGACCAGACGAAGATGCCACAGGGTCCCCGGATAAGCGCACGTAAAACAAGCTTTTCGAAGCGACAGATGGAGATCGAATTTGTAGTACTTCGCCAGAGTCTTGAATACGGGTCTCGGATAGACAACACACGTCGATATTAAGACTTTCCAAAGACATAGCCAGCCCTATCTGTTGTCCGACCTGCATAAATGTGCGAACGTTGAAGGCAGCCAGTTTGAATGGTGCACGTGGTTTCAGAAAATCTGCTTCAGTCCTCGTATTCGGTGGTAACATACAATTTTCAACCGGACAGTGACTCGAGAACGTTTGGATACAGTCGGAATTCCACCAAAGACGAGCCGCTGTATAAGTATAAAAGAGGGTGAATAATGTGGAAAATAATAATAATAATGATAATAATAACAATAATGACAATAATAGTAGTAATAATAATATTAGTATTAATAATGACAATAATTGTAATGATAATAATCTGAATCAATTGTTTGTTTTTCAAAGCGACAAAAGTAATTTCCATAGACATAAAGAGTTCATCATTTGTGTGTGGGCTGTGATACTGCCCGGGTGCCCAAACCGAAGCAGGTGGTTATCTTAGGGGGCCACTCCCCGAGCCTTTGACCTAAAGGTCTAACCCACAAGGCAGTGGAGCATCGTAAGGAGATGCAGTCCCATGGTAGCCGGTGACCAACGATTGGTTCATACGCCATTCGTTCCCGCAGGATACTGGAGCCCATGTGCACCATTGATTTGGAATCCGGTTAAAGCGCCGGACATTCGCTTTTCGTCCTCTCATTTTCGTAAACAACACCCCCGCCACGAGAAGGCAATGAGTAGGACTTCCCTGGCAGAGGCTGTATACGCGTGGCCGTGTGAGAGTATTTCGAGAGGGAGAGCGGACTCTCCCCACTCTCGGCCGTACCAGGGCATTCAGGGGGCCCATGTACATCACTGGTTTGAAATCAGAGTTTTCCGATTCCCTTAGGTCAATCCACTCACCCGGTTCAAATCACCATTCACTTTGGATCCTCTCACTTTTGCAAGCAACATTCCCAGGTCATTAAGGTAGTGAATAGAGACTCTCTAGGAAAGGGTTTCAACTCACAACTATATGAAGGGTTTTTAAGAGGAAGAGTGAATTCTTTCTACTCTCGGCGGTATCAGGGCATTTGGGGACTGATTGATAATAGATTATACTTGTGATATTGTGCGCAACTTCAAGTTTAATTTTTTTGCTTATTTCTTTCACTCAGGAATGCTTGACTTATCTGCTTACACAATTACATGAAGAACTGGGTTGTACAGCGGTAGCTAAGAGTACAGATGTACATCTTTTGAATGATACAGATCAAAGTCAAAATGATTCAGAATGGATAGTTACTGGTCGAGCTGGCAAACACTTTCCAGAAGCTAGAAAAGTTTGTTGTCACTAAAATATTTGGTTATTGTCAATCTTTTTTTATGGATGTATTGATTAGATTAAGACTTATATAAAGTGTGGGACGTTTTCATGAAATGAAGTTGAAGCACTCATATGTTTGTTTTGGCCAATAATTCCCAAAATAATCAAAGTATTGTTCGTTTGTATCTAACAACCTCATATACGTAATAACACTAGTGTAAGCTATAAAAAGTTCGAATGACAAATTACGAAATTTCGTTTCAGTTTTCATGTAAATCATGTGGAGATTTAATGGATTACAGGAGTGTCATGGATTTTCTTAAAAAAACCCTTAAGCTTCTTTATATGGGAGAGAATAGACCATAATCACGAGTTGTTTGGAGTCCCTCAGTGGAATTTATCTTTCTTTTACGCGCTTTCTGAAAGTCGACTGTTTCGTTCCCCAAAAGTTTCTGTAATGGTGACGATATATACAATCTGATTGCTTGAACAGGAATATATGTAAGTGGTTCGAACCTGTGACTTAATGCCTAAAAGTTGAATGCTTTAACCACGGAGCCGCTGTTCTGTGTATTAATTAAATTTGAAATTTTTAACCACATAATTTCATTCCGATGAGTTAATATCATCTCATTCTTACCGTAAAGTTAATACTTGTCAGAAAAGCGTACTTGCAATCTTGAGTGGATAAATTCTCCCTATGAGATTCAAATCCGTTTCAACCAGCTTTAGTCTTTGGGAGTTATATACAACTTATCATAAAGGAAAGTGAAACGATCTTTGTTCGAAATACGAACTTTCTAGGTCTATAAATTAATTCAGGTGTTTAAATTAAATAATTCAAATGACAAAACCTAAAAAATGGAACTTTTTGTATTATTCTTTGCAAATTGAACAAAAGTTAATTCTTCAAAGTATGTACACATCGTTTGTAATATTAATACAACCTTATTGAAATCAAATTACTAACGTAGTTAACCAGTAAGGGCAATTTTGTTATTCTACAGCTGGGAAGTAAAATTTCTTATCTTAATTTATCTTCTTATTTGTTTTTCAATTTTCTATAGATAGAACTTGATGGTGGTCAAAGTCCTATTGCTTCATTATTTTGTGGTACACTTGTAACTCGTTCTAATCTAAGCAAATCAGATAGTAGTTACAATGTTCATAATTATTCAACTGTAAATAGTCATGCCAAAAAATCTGCTATCAAAGAACCATTTTTCATGCTTCATGTACCTATAGACAATCCTCTAGTAAGTATATGTTCATACTCACCATATTCTAGTCAGTTTCTATTAATTATTATCGCTGTTTTCACAGTTTAAATCATTAACCGTTTTTAATTAAGCAACCATTGAGAACTTGGAAGCACTAAATGACTGTTTCGTCCCGGTACGGGACTCCTCAACAATGGATGTCCATGGCCTCGCGCATGAACACAGCCTCTAAACCACTGGTTCGGTATCCAAGTGTGTTAATGTCTAGTTTCAATCAATTCACGATACTGCAAAACTGTCAAGCAGCCTGCCTAAATACCTGGGGGGGGGCTACCTGTTGCTGCCATTTAGATATTTCAACAAGTCTGTTAATCGCGTAACTCATTCAGGTGCGTTTATGAAAAGTTTACTACCTTTCACTGTACAGGTTACAAAAAATTACAATCAGCGACATTGTGATAGCTGGCAGTATGCATTCAAAGGACTGAACATTATTCAGATGTCGATTCCTGAACTGCTTACATCTAAGTGGTGATCACTGAATATTTATCGCAAGGGTCGATCAAGAAATAAGAAAAGGAAAATTGTTGAAATACTTTGTGCTGAGAATTGTATATTGTACCAAAAATATTATATTGAATAAAGCCATTAATAATAATAATAATAGTAATCACATGCATCAAATAAATTTCCCACACTCGACATAGTATTTTTATGAATTCAACTTCTATGTACTCACTTGAGAGGATCACTAAATTATTGGCTCCACCAGTGATAAATTCACTTTATTTCAATACTGTTGCAATGACCCCGCTTCGGTTTGGGCGCTCGGGCAGTATCCCGGCCCTCACACAAATCGAATGATGAAGTGTGGCGCATATATATTTGGTACATCCTTGTTGTAAGAATGTTTATGTTGTTGAATAGATAATAAATCATTAATGACCTGATTGTCCTGATGCTTATTATTAGCTCATGAAAATTCTTTCTGTTTTCAGCCTGTTCAAATAGATCACAAGAGAGTTTGCCTTATTTTCCTTCTATTGCACGACTCAAATACTCATATGATAATATATAAATATAAATTATAAAACTGTAACGCACCATAATTTAGAAATCATAATTCTGAACTAATCTATAACGCTCCATTTATAATACACATGTTTTATTATGTTGTATCATCATTTGCAAAAAATTTATTTCCACGCACTATGTTGGTTAATTTTGTCACCATGATGTAGTTGCTTTTACTGCTGTGGTCGCTTGACTACAACTTACACACACACACATTTGACCTATAAAACAAACAAATGGTGTATACGTTAACGTGCAAATCATAGTAGAATTCTAAATATAGAGTTGTAGTTTTAGTTAGAAGTGTAGTATGACGTTGAGCTAATCCATAATTAAGAAAACTATCAAGTTTTTTGTACAAACTTCAAGAAATAAATCATTTTTATCGTAAAATACTTGATAGAGATACTTTTATACAGTGTTCAGAATGTGTACAACTGTTACTTTATTTATTTCAGCACAGATATTGGTACAAAGAGGCACCAAATACATATGCGCCACACAAATCTCATTCGATATGTGTGAGGGCTGTGATACTGCCCGGGTACCCAAACCGAAGCACGTGGTTTTCTTAGGGGGCCACACCCTGAGCTTTCGACCTGAAGGTCTGATCCACAAGGCAGTGAAGCATCGTCAGGAGATACAGCCCCGTGGAAGCCGGTGACCAACAATTGGTTCATACGCCATTTGTTCCTTCAGGATACTGGAGCCCATGTGCACCATTGGTTTGGAATCCGGTTAAAGCGCCGGACATTCGCTTTTCGTCCTCATTTTTGTAAACAAAACCCCCGCCACGAGAAGGCAGTGAGTGGGACTTCCCTGGCAGAGGCTATATACGCGTGGCCATGTGAGAGCATTTCGAGAGGGAGAGCGGACTCTCGGCCGTATCAGGGCATTTGGGGGCACGACTGTTACGGAAAATACTTCGTGTCATTTAATTTATGGTTAGTAAAAGTGAGATACGATTAACCACTAAGCGTCAATAGATACTAACTAAATAGGAACTAACTACTAATTATTTAATATTTTATTCCCTTTCCTATTGATTGATTTCTTCTCTTAACTCACTGAGTTCACAGTGCTCATAATTATGTTGAATAAAGTATTATCTCTAGTCTGTTTACTCGATATCTTTATGTTTGGTCGTAAATCGTATATTTTGTATAATGTGATCCCTATCTGTGTACTACGTATCGATCGAGTATTTGGTCTAAGACTAGAAAAATTCCTATCAGCGGTCGTGTCGTTGTATTTTAGTAGTATAACCTAGCCAACAGAAAATATTTCTTTACTAATATGGGGTGTGTGTGTGTGGAGATTGTAGTATTTTCAAAATTGAATTCGTGAAGTGATCTTAGCTGGTCTACCATTAAAAGCCTGGAACTACTGGATAGTCGTTTCATACTAAACTTCCTCATAACGTTGTTCTATAATTCCTATATGTGTAATTCTTAAGCAAATTTAATTAATTTAATATTTTCTAGGCACTAATGAATTTCCTATAAAATTATCCATGATCTCAATATAACAAAGCTTTAGAGTGAATATATATATATATATATATATATATATATATATATATATATATATATTCGGATTGTTGAGATTATGTAACAATCTATCTACAATATTAAAATCAGGATACTGATAATAAGGATTTAAAAAAAAGACGAAACTTCCTAAAATCATTAGACTTTTACAAGTTCCGTTATTTCTGCTGTGAATGTCTTTTGACCTATAAAAAACTTTCTGCTCATGCTGGTTGGAAAGTGGCTTCAAGTTTACGCGCTTAGTTTCAGAATCTTTCGAACTCGTACTCTACGATATCATACTTTTATTCCAGCTAACGTTCACCTTAGGATATCGATTGTAGATTTGACATTCCTTTTTTTAAAAAAAAACAGTTTCTTGTACAATCATCCGGTGAAAATAACAAATTTACATGATGTTTCACTTAGCCCTTCTGGTTTGGGTTCCATTCAAATTAGAGTTTGCATTTGCTTAAACTCATAATTAAATCATGTCATCATTATTAATGAATTCAATGAATAGACACTCTATTATGAGAGATCATTTATGATAAAGTATTTGTGACCTAATCAAAGATTGAAGCATATACTGATCTCCTCTTGAATGAATAATTTTTTAAAACGAAAAATGTTTGCTTGAGGATAGAAAAAAAGAATTAATCTTGTGCTGGGGAAGTCCTAATCACTGCCTTCTCGTGGCGGGGGTGTTGTTTACGAAATTGAGAGGACGAAAAGTGGAGGTCCGGCCCTTTAACCGGATTCCAAACCAATGGTGCACATAGGCTCCAGTATCCTGAAGGAACAAATGGCGTATGAACCAGTCGTTGGTCACCGGCTACCATGGGACTGCATCTCCTGACGATGCTCCACTGCCTTGTGGATCAGACCTTTAGGTCAAAGGCTCGGGGAGTGGCCCCCTAAGAAAACCACGTGTTCCGGTTTGGGTACCCGGGTAGTATCACAGCCCTCACGCAAATCGAATGATTTATGTGGTACATATCTACTTGGTGCCTCCTTGTGCCAATATCTATGTGTTAAAATAACTAAATAAATAACTCATAAGTTGTATAAAACTGTATTTAAGCTTCGTTAAATTCTTTAGAATATAAATTCTATGCTCCTTGGCCAATGAGCAGTACAAACGATGTAAGCTCTTCTTCAGTGTTTCATAAGATCAGGAGTACAGTATAGTCTCTACTAGTCGAACTGGTAATTCTTACACGTAACCGATTAATACATCACAACTGAATGAATTTTGCGAGAACAGAAACATTGACTTATTGACTGAATAATAATAATAATATAAAGCTGTTTTTTATATTCACAATATTTGATCAATAGAGTCAGTCAGTCGGTCATAATCATCGTAAAGCTGTGGCATACACGTGCGTTGGTCTCACTGGCTCCAGTTATTGTGATTGACCCTCAAGTAATTAAGTCAATACATGGTTAATCAGTTATCTTAATTCATTAATTATGCATATTAGATGTTCTTAAGCTAATAAATTGACCTTAGGTAAACTTAATAATATGAGACTCAAATGGATTTTATTTTAGCAAAATTACTCATATTTCCATATACTTGTCTTTTTTTGTTGATGTGACATATCTCACCTACTTTTATGTGTGTAATTTTGATTACAAATTATATCATTTTCCACAGGTTAATTCCGTTGAATCAGCTTTACGGTATTTAGCTGAACTTGAAGTAATAGCGGATTATCATAATTCTTCTGATTCTCAAATATCATTGGTACGTCGTCGATCAATGATAGATCGTCTTCCACCGTACTTAATTATACAATTGAAACGATTTTATAATGAATCTAAGGTGAAAAATGTACAAAATATCAATACATCTGTAAATAAATTTAACTCTACTACATCACAAACATCTGTAATTATTCGTAAACATTTGAAATCCGTTAATATCCAATCTAAACTTCTTATACCAAAAGGTAGGTTCGAAACGCGGTGATTGGCGCTTGTATATTTTCATAATAGTAGCATAGATATATGATGTTACTCTCATTTACCAAGTATAGATTTGTGGACTCAGCTGTGAGTCATGTTTTATATCGGAGGGTTAATGAGACTCTATTAGACTGTTCGAACCGAATTAGTTAGAATGTTGTCCGTAGATATGGTATGTGTTTTGCACCTTGTAAGTGCAAAGTATTTTTACGAGACTGAGCCCGTTTGATTTTAATTTAATTAACACTCTAAATTGTCATTATTCCTATTTACCAAGGGTAGTAACGAATATCACGTTTGTTTAGTCTTTTGGTGCTGGTCAAATTCCATCGATTAAGTTACAGTGTGACCACTAGTCTAAGGGATTGTGTTCAAATGTTGGATTATTGAAGGTTGTCGGCAGGAGACCGCAGAGCTTAATTTTATGCTGGTCGGTACTCGTCAGCAAGTTGTATCTAGAATCTTGAGGGAAATGATACTCAGACTACTGGATTAAGTAGCTTCACAATCTGAGACATTACTACTGATCTATTCTACCTGCCCGAACCTGTATATGTATATATATTCCATTATCTAATCCATCACCTTTTTACTTTCTTTCTGTTTACACATTTAGAACTTTTAAATCAAGAAACACATTTCAGTCATTCACAACGTAATTATCGTCTTCAAGCTGTTATATTTCATGTTGGTGAAACAGTTGAATCAGGTCACTATACAATTGCTGTGCGTATAACTAATCCCCTGAAAAAATCAAACAGCAACTCTTCCACATTTGTCTATTTTGATGATGATCGTGCTTGTGTGTTAAATAACGCAGAAAGTATAAATCTCCTACTAACCACACATCATCCATTAGATACAAGAAATTGTGTATTCCTTCATTTGAAAAAACCAAAAACATTTCAAACTAATCCTGAACACGTAATAACATCATCATCATCTAGCCAACATCACAGTGCATTAAACGTTTCTATCAATCATCCACGCACACCGTATATTCTTCTCTATGAATCCCAAATAGGAGTTCATTCGGACACATGATGATGATGATGATATGTACATGTCACTGAATCATTTTCTGTGTGCATGTGTATGCTGGCATTTCAATTATTCTTTTCCTTTCTTTTTCTATGGTTTTGATTTTTCTATTGTTTGATTGTGGAACCTTTTTTTTTAGCAAAAACTCTGAATTATCATTCTTTTTCCTATGAAAATCATTTGTAGACAAAGTTTTATTTTTCTTACCATAGTTTTTGTAAAAATCTTTTCTTGTTTTCTATTTGTGACAAGTTTCGGAAAAAGACCGCAGGGGGTGGTTAACAATAAGGAACCATTACGTGATTGCATTACATTTGTAATCAAATGAGTAAATTATTCAACAGTACATATAGAATTTTGATACAGTAGTGGACCAATCAGAAGTCATCAAATGATGTGTGCACATGATCGTCCAAGAAATAGCTTTCGTTTTCAATGGATAAAATGTAAACCATTGATAGGCTTGATCACCTAAGTGACAGACGTATGTGTATGCAAATGAGTACACATACATTTTATTTGGTTAAGCCAAATAAACTTTTTCTTAGTATTCATCTTTCCTCTTGAGTAACCGAGCTTGTGTGTATAAAGTGTGTCAGCATTGATTCTCTGTCAGTGCGTGTTATAGCAAATTTATTCTATTGTTGTTAACAATAGTATTCTTTTATTAAGGGGTTGTAATCTCTCGTTGTTGATGTTCAGGACTGTAACTGATCAGTCTTTGTTGCAGTATATGCGTCCTGAGCAAATTATCTTTTCATGTTGTTTTAGTTTACTTGGTACTTGGATAGTTGGAGAATCCAGGATGAGGGTTTTACTTGGGTCTCAGCAAATGGACGTCCTAGCGTTCTTTTATTTATTATTTGAGTAGTTCTGATGCAACTATTTGAGACCGGTCACGCACGACGTGTTTGCGGATAGTTTTAAGTGTGCTAGTTCCGTACTTATAAGACCTTCAATATTAGCAGTGAGATTAACTGAGGTCTCAGGTAGAATTTGGGAACTAGACGTAATCCCATCTGACTGGTCTCAATCACTGATTGTGCCAGTCTATAAGAAAGGACAAAAGTCCTCTTGTGACAATCACAGAGGAATCAGTTTGACTAATATAGTGTCTAAAATATTAACTTCAATAATACTTCGACGCCTAACTAAAGCTCGTGAAGAGCAAACTAGAGAAAGTCAGGCTGGTTTTCGACCTGGACGTGGTTGTATGGGTCAGATATCCACACTACGTCATGTTCTAGAACACAGACACACGTTCAGACGCCCCACAATGGTAGTATTTCTCGACCTTAAGGCGGCATTTGACTCTGTTGATCGTAAGGTTCTATGGCAGTGTTTGTCACTGAAAGGAGTACCAAGGAAGTACATTAACCTTATACAGGCTCTCTACTCGAACGCAACTGGTAGAGTGAGAGCTTATGACGAACTGTCATCAGAATTGATTACCTCAAGTGGTGTTCGTCAGGGCTGTCCACTCTCCCCATTCTTGTTCAACTTTGTCATTGACGTACTTTTAGAGATAACACTCTCCTCATCTAATTTTACAGGGGTTGAACTTCTACCAGGAGATTCACTTGTTGATTTAGAATATGCTGATGACATAGTTTTATTTGGCGAAGACTCTGACAAAATGCAGAGTCTTCTGACCACTCTAAGCAACAATGCAAGCATGTTCGGTATGCGATTCTCTCCCTCGAAATGCAAAATGTTGCTTCAGGATTGGGTTACATTGACACCCGAAATCTCAGCACAGATACAGAAGGCTCGACTAGTTTTTACCAACTTGCGTCATTTATGGCGTAGGCGAGATATCCGTCTATCAACCAAAGGACGTGTTTACTGTGCAGCAGTTCGTTCCGTTCTACTTTATGGCAGTGAAACATGGCCGGTAAGATTAGAGGATATTCGTAGGTTGCTAGTATTTGATCATAGGTGTCTTCGAAACACTGCTCGTATATCCTGATACCAACGAGTAATTAATGCGGTTGTTAAAAAATGGGTACTAGGTAAGGATGGCAAATCAGTTGATGAAGTAGTGAAACTTCATCAGTTGAAATGGTTGGGAAATGTGTTATGTATACCCAACCACCAACTGCCACGACGAGCGATGTTTCATGGTATAGGAGTAGGTTGGAGGAAAGATAGGGGTGGCCAGATCAAAACATCACACAAATCCATGGAATCAATGACAAGTGGACTGAGTCATGTTGGTAGGTGTAGACTACGTGGTTGGGGACCGCGAGATGATAGCAACCGATGGTTAGAGACCCTGAATGACATGGCTCAAAATCGTTTGCAATGGCGCAGGTGCATACACTCTTTGTGTTCTCCCAAATTTTGATCTCCTTATTCCTCCTTGTCCCTTTTTTTTCTCCTCTCAAATTTATTTCACTGTATTATACTCTTTAAGTAACATCTCCAAACACTAATCTTCCCGATTACTGCTTATACTCTTATTACCTCTACCACTACGGGATTTGAATCGACCACTGCATCTCTATGCTAATGTGGTGTGGCAACTCGAACTGATGTACGTACGTACTAAGTTCTACGTTGTTACTGACTGACTGGCTGACCTTACCATCGAGGACGGAAATCCTTTTGGCAAGGTGTGATGTGCTGTTTTCAGGGCCTTCCTAGTCCTCTCCCGTTGTAAATGTTGACTGAGAGACAAACCTTTCTACCATCACAATCCTATGTACTCTGCAGTACTACTCGATTTTCGTACCGCGAGTTTGTTGCGTTTAATCTCACTGCTCTTCAACCAACCTGCTTAGTATGGTAGTTTCTAAAGGAATAAAGGTCTCAACGATTATAACTGGACTGGGTCATTACGAACTCGAAACCCAACTATCACGCCAAGGTAGTTGGTATGGTTGGGAGGTGTGTTATTGATGTTGATCACCAGTTTACTGTTATGATGGCAGTGCCTCGAGAGTGAATTAACGAGATGGATATCAAAAATGTGGAATTGTCGGCTATATCAACGGCACTGATTAAAATCGATAGCTGCCATCACAAGATTGAGAACTCAATGAAACAGTATTTAACACAAAATTATCAGCTCATTGGTGAGTTACTTGGAGATGAGTTCGTGAAGTTTGGTCAGGAAGTCATCAATGTAGTTCATTTATTTCAAGAGTGAAACAGGTGTCAAGAATGATATAGGATAGTTGCGCTATTTCACAAATTGAGTGAATATATGAAAATAGCATCGGGTGTTAGTTCGGCTGTTTTAATCATCAAGTGTTGTCCTCAAAACCTAGGAAGTTCTGGCTTCAATCGCCGGTTGGGTTGTAGATTTCCGATCTTGATGATTTCTATACTAGTACCCAACAGTCGTCCAATGTTTCCCGGTTCTTAGCAGTACTTCAACTGAAATCATTGTGTGATGAATACCACCTAAAAATCGAAGTAATCTCCATATAATCCCTTCACCTAAAAACAAAATAGGATTTTATTTAGATGGTGTTTTACCAAGCGTAGGACCGAATTCAAACTGAATGTTTTATATATCTATTGAACACATTGTTGTCAATGATGGCATTGCTCTTGACAGTTTAAAAAAAGTACTTTTAAGTATGATTTTGTGACAAGGTTTTCAACCATAATTTTCGATACCTGAGCCTCGTGAACCTAAAAAGAAGACAGAAATTCATAGAAACTACACTTCTGAAGTTATTTTGTGTATTACAAACGTGGTATATTTAAGATGAAATGTGAGTTTAGGGCTGTAAAAATAACTGAAAAGGACAATAGAATTGATAATCGATTCTACACATAACGTATCAGATTGAAGTGATTTCCTGGTTTTTCTGCTTAGTTTGCAAAACACACGGATTGATTAAAGGTAATTTTCTCAGCTTCTACGATTTAAAAGTGTCCTTGGAATAATTTATAATATTCAGGTGAAGTATATAACTGCTCTATCCATAATCAAAGGATGATATTAATACGTAGCTGGGCATTGATTTATGAAATTGTCTACTTTATAATTTATTCTAAAAAAAATGGAAGGAATTTGTTTAAGATTCATATTGAATGTTGTAAAATATTTTCTACCAATCTACTGATTTCCATTTATCTCTTGAATGAGATCTTGTAATTTGTCATTAAAGATTATAACACGTAACGAATTACCATGGTATTAAAATTGATCGATAATGATGTATATTATTGAATAGTAGTAAGTAATATAGCGTTATACACCAAAAAAGGAATCGAGTGAGAAAATTATGGAGAAAAAACATTGACAAGTCTTATTGGGTTCCTAGTTGCTTAGAGATAAAGGGCTTGGTAAAAGACTTGAAAGTTGGGTTAGATAGATTACAGGTATTGCTTACTTATTAGTTAGTAGTCTATATTAGTGATAGGTAAGGAACCTCTACCTCTTGCTATAGTTCTAAGTTGATATAGTCGTGATCGGAATAATTTAATAAGTAGTAGTGCATTTTTCAGCTTTCAATGTAATTATCTATATGCTGTCGAAAAACAAGAAATAATGATGAATTTGAATTGAGTTTATCAATGTGATATATGATCAAAGTGGTAAGCTGTGTGATTGAAAAATATCTTTAAAAGACGTTTGACTCAGTGAAAAAAAAAACGCCACCGTACACCATTGTCTCAGTGAGCTGATATCTCACAACAGAACTGGTGGACTACACTGGTAACGGCTTCTCACTAGAATTCCAGAAGTATCTCCTGAAGTCAGTCATAGTGAGCAGTTGATTATTAACAGAATGGGTTTTGTGGAGATTTTTAGAAATTTCACAGGTTGAAATCATGAGTCAGTTGAAGTTAGATCACCATGGAAAACCGGAAGCACTGGTTGACGTTAGACATTAACACCGTTGGATGCCGGATCAATGGTCTAGTGGTTAAGTGCTCGTGCGCGAAACCAGTAGGTCCTGGGTTCGGATCCCGCGGAGTGGGGGTCGTGGATGCGCACTGCTTGAGAGTCCCATATCAGGACGAAACGGCCATTCAGTGCTCCA